AAGGAAAGAGTGTAGAGAAAACTGGGTGAAGAAGTTTGAATTTTATACCAGGGCAATGGGGATTACCAATAAATTTTAAATGCTGGAAGTAGAGGCTAAAGCTGATAGGCTTTGAAGTTCTTCCTAAAATTTGTGGCAAACACACACACACACACACAGAGAGAGAGAGAGAGAGAGAGAGAGAATTTTATTAGCATTATTCTCATGTATATACATATATCCTTTAAAACTTTCTTTTACTAATTCTTTTATTTTTTGAGATTATAAAGTATCATTTGCCCTTTCCCTTTCTTTCCTCTGAATTCTCTAATGCATCTCTCCTTGACTCTTTCAAATTCAGGGCCTTATTTTTAAAATTAATTGATGTTATTGTATGTATAATATAAATATATATTAAAGAGTATTAAAGAGTACATATATTATATAATATACATTATATATATTAAAATAACAAGAATATATGTCACAATAATGAAAAACACTAAAGACAAAAACATAAGAGAAGTCATACCTGAAACAAATTTACAGTTTGGAGACAGCCCATTCAATTCCAGCTGGGATTAGTTAAGACTGACTCAGTTCACACCTGTGGGTGTGAGTGTACATGGTGATTGTCATAAACCACCCAGATATCTGGTAGTACATGGCAACATTTCTTGTAATAGCTGGCCAGCACAAAGAAGGGAACTTACAAACAGAAAACCCAGTATGATGAAGATCATTAAAATCTCTATAGTAAGACTCTGACTACATTAATGACAAAGAAACAGAAGAAAGAGATGCTGGAAAGGAATAATATCAGGGACTCAGTGACTGGTTGGACGCCAGAGTTATAGAGTGAAAAGAGGAAAGCCTGTCTAAGTTTCTTGCTGGCATAACTGGAGGAGTGCAACAGCGACCATTTGGGATCAGGTCAGAGGAAGATGAGCTTTGAACATGAGGATTTGAGGAACTGAGCTGTAAATACACATGTAAGTGAGAAGTCCCCCTGTGTCTGTCTATTCATCTCTAAAATGAAGGCAAAATCATAGGGCCTACCATATAGCCAAATGGCAACTATGCAACAGGGCTTTGAAGAGTACTGTTACAAATTGACTGTGATAGCTATTAAAATGAAAACACTCACACGTTTATTTTCCTGCTGCCAGATGCTATATTTAGAGAGAAATGAGAACTAATGTTTCTGAGACACACACACACACACACACACACACACACACACACACACACACACAGAGAGAGAGAGAGAGAGAGAGAGAGAGAGAGAGAGAGAGAGCTTGAAACATTTTAAACATTTTCACAGATTTATCTAGAGGAATAAAATGATACATATTAGCCCAATTCCCATCTTAGGAGACTTAGACAACTTGCCTTCAAGATCTCTGAGCCTCATTCCTGTGTGAGGTTAAGGCTTGACTTATTGATTTCTAGATGTCTTACTATTCTTAAATATATAAGGCCTTACCTCCTAGTAAGGACATCCTTTTACTATCATCTGTTATTTGATGTTTGCTTGCCCTCCCTTCATGCTGCATCAGTCTTTTTTTTCCAGTAACTTCTCCTTTGGAGAAAATTAATCTGTCCAGATTGTGGGCTACATCCCAGGCTTATTTTTATCTGTGTGTGAGTGATAAAGATCTAGAAGTTGTTTTGATTGGTGTGCTTCTATAACTACAGCAGGATTCCATTTACCACTTAGTCAAGGTGGTAATGAGGGTTTCTGTACCAGGCAACTGTGGCTGCCATCTGGCAAGCCAGCATTACATGCCTGCCTGGCAGACAGAACCAATTAGTCAGTCCCCACACCTCCCAGGAGGCCTTCCTGTATTTGGTAACTGGTGTCCCACACTAAGCTTCTTACAAACCCATGATGAATTCTAAGTGGGGAGAGGAAAGTCATTTTCATTTGGTATTACAGAATCAGCAAAGACTCCAAATCAAGAGAGTCCAAGTGCTAAAATGCTGATGCAGCAAACTTCTTCCAGGTAGTTATGGTAAATGCCTACTCCATGTCAGCAGTGAGGAACTGAACATAGGTGGTGATCATAGAGATTAGAATTAGTTTATGTGATGCAAGGGCTTTGTGTATATCCATGCAAAGGAATGGACTCAATCTGGGAACAACAGGGCCTGGAATCCGAGCTTGAATCATCAGATTGATACTCCTTAGCCTTATGATACTGGGAAGGCAATTGACCTCCTCTGTCACTTTCCTTCTCCTTGAACTTAAGATTGTTTCTTGCATCACTGGGTGATTGGGATAGAAATTAGTTAGAATATGCAAAGACCTTAGACTAGTGTTTGACACAAGGCAAATCATGGCTGCTAGCTTTAAATGTAAGTGAAGAGCTCTTAAAGTTAGAAAATAGGACAAACTTTTTCATGTTAGTGGAAGAACTCCCGATGTGAAATTAATTGAGCAGGAGAGCAAAGAATACATATGTAATGTTTCTCACTTTATATCAACATATGGAGGGTAGAAGAAAATGAAAGCTCCTAATTTTCTATTTTAGGTTTTATTTGCTAATTATTTATATTGTTTTCTAGCAATTTTGTAATATTTTATGATTAGGGAAATCAATTAAAATTTAAAGCAGAAGGCTGAGGGTGTAGTTCAATTACTATAGAGTCTATAGTAAGGTCTGAGTTCCATCCTGTGCACCACATATACCAGGCAGGCATGGTGCCTGTAATCTCAGCACTCAAGAAGGAAAGACAAGAGGATAAGAGGTTGACGTTAGTCCTCAGCTACATAGAAAGCTTGAAGTCAGCTTGGGGTACATTGGACCTTGTCTAGAAGAGGTGGACGAGGAGGAACAGGAGGAAGGAGGAGCGGAAGGAGGAAAAGGAGGAAGGAGGGGGAAGAAGAGCAAGAGCAGTGTGGGGAGAGTCAGAAAACAGCAGTGGCAAGGGTGGGTTACGCATTTTATCTGCACGCTTATGAGTCATTTCAACTTTGGAGTCTTTGCTGGCCTTCTATCATAGTGAGAGAAACAACAGTGGCACCCGAATCAGGTAATGCAACACCAAAAAATGCAAAATAGTAAGATATACCTGAAAATATCTGTTCACAATAAAGTGTCTTAAAAAACTGTAGTATTATTACCAAAATCATTCTTGGGAGTGACAAAACAGAAGAAACAAATCAATGCCAAAATCAAAATTTGAAAGAAACTCATAGACTTTTAGATGGTTATAAATATTTTAGTTTTGATAATTCATTCTTTCTTGCTCTAAAGCAGACCGTCTAAGGACTCATCGTGAAAAAGCCAATTGAACATATGAAATGTAGGTCAGAAGGCCTGGATTTCAGCCTCAGTTGTACCACTAACTTACAGGCCAAATTAATTTTATAAAAGGACTTCAGAGCTCAGCTGGAACATGCAGAGTACATTCTGAAATCCAGCTGTCAAGCACTCCAAATACACAGTCTTTTGCCTGGCTCTTATGCACAGAAGATCAGAAGCCATAGGCATTCATTCCCTCATATGGATAAAGTCTAGCTAGCATCCCAGTGATTTTTAAAGGGCTATTAAAATTATAAGCTAAAAATATTTCTGTTTGAGTTTTATGCAGACTTTAATCAGTATTCTACTAAAATATCTGGCTGTCACTTAATGCTTGGCAGCACTGCAAAACGCCCACTCTATGTATCCATTTAATTGAAATTTCAGTAATTTTTGGAAATGGCACTTTGTTATCAATGAATCATTAGTTTTATCTTGATTTGGATCCAGTTTTCATTGGTGCTATACTTGGCTTCTAATTTCAAATTACATTTAGGTTTATCCTTCACAAGACAGCTTTTATGGACTGTTTGGACCGTTACTAGCAGAGTCCACTGATATGTGTTTCCATCAAAAGAGTTTGGGGATTTTCTTTATAATCAGATGTGGTTGCATGGGATTTTGAAAATTAATAATCTCTCTGGTAATGTGAAAGAAGATAGACTTTCTTTTTCCAAAAGACTGGAACCTTACATGTTGTGCTGGTTAGAGTCTTGTCAAAGTCACAAAAGTTATAGACATCTGGGAAGGGAGAACTTCAGGTGAGAAGATTCTCCCTGCAGATTAGCCTGTGAGACATTTTGTTGATTAATGATTGATATAAGAGTGCCCTGCCCATTTTTGGGTGGTACTGGCCTTGGTCAGGTTATCCTGGACTGAGCAAGCCACAGAGAAATCCAGAAAGCACCATCCCTTATCAGTCATTGCTTCAGTTCCAGATACCAGATTCTTGCCTTTAGCTCTAGCCCTGATTACTCTTCATGATGGATTTGATGTGAGATGTCCTTCTGTATGGTGCAAACATGTTTTGCTTTTACTAGTGGACAAATAAAGCTGATTTGGCCAGTGTCTAAGCAGTATAGAGCCAGGCAGAAACAAACAAAGATACAGAGAGAAAGTAGGCAGAGTTAGGGAGACACCATGTAGCCTCTGAAGGAATAAGATGCCAGAACTATTGGTGAGCCACAGCCCTGTGGTGATACACAGGTTAGTAAAAATTGGTTAAGTTAATTGTGAGAGTTAGTCAGTAATACTCCTGAGCCAGTGGCCTAACAATTATAACTAATATTAAGCGCCTGAGTGTTTATTCAGGAATTGGCCATCAGGAGGCAAACGTCCATTTACATGAATTATATATTGTAGGTTAAAATAAACCTTTTCCCCCCTCCCTAAGTTGCTTTTGATCATGGTATTTATCACAGTAATAGAAAACAAACTGAGACATGGCTAGTGACACTTATTTACTGTATTGGTTTGCGAGTATTAGTGAGTTTACCACAGGCAAATTATGTTAACCAAGTCAATTCATTGTAGAAAAAGATGTAATACACAAGATCTCCTTGAAATTTATTTTAAGTTGAAAGAGAATCATTTATAATTTCTAATGTATGGGAAAATGTACTAATTTCTAAGTGTATGTTTGTGTGGGTTTGTTTTTCTCTATATTTTCCTAAATGAATTACCAGAAAAGCTTGGCTATTTCTTGTTACTCACCCTGCCATTCAGGAATCTGTTACTGGGTAGTCTTGTTAAGAACTTCTGATTACTCTCTGGTTTCTGGCTGCTGCTTGGACGCTTACTTTCTTCCTTATCAGCTGGGTTAGCAGTGATTTGCCGATCAGAAGGGACAGTGGATCCTGTCAGGTCTCTGCTCACCTGCCTTGAATAAGCAGCCCTGGGTTTCTGGAGTGTGGTTTGAGGCTCTTCTGTCTTCAACTTCTCATCCTGCTTGCTGTGAAGAGAGTTTGCACCTTGTCAGTCATAAGGAACACTCATCATGCACAACGTTGGCATGAGAAGCAGAAGGTGTTAGTCTGGAAGCGTGAACAGCAGTAACAGCCCTGTGGGATGTAGTGGTAAACATGGCTGTTTGTCTAAGCACCACACACCAGAGAGAACCCATGCTAGTATCCGTCTTCTCAGACAATCTTTTCTCTATTCAACTTCTGAATAATCTGCCTATGGACTCCAGAACACAGAAATGAATAGAGTCAAAACTGAACACTAACCATTAGCATATATAGATATAGATATCACCTATAAAGCAAATAGATATTTCTAGCCTTTGCACCTAGAAAAGGAAGAAAGTCAGAATGTGTTGCTAGGCCCTGGCCTGCTGTGTCTCTCCTCAGGTGTTTTACCCAGAGACTTGTTTTTCTCTCAGTGGTCCTTCAGTTCATTTTCATGTTAATCAGAATAAAAGAATAAAAACTATAGGAATTATTTAAATATAACTAATAGACAAATGTCAGCCTTGTGTAATAAGTAAGAATTTATGAATAAAAGTAACAAGGTATCACTTTTTATGTAGAAATTTTCTTTACAGATAAATTGAGAGCTGGCAAAATGGTTTAGCTCTGATAACCAGGGCCCAGATGGCAGAAGAAAATTGACACAAATGTCCAATTATAAAAATAAATGAAAATAACCATTTCATATGGTGGGCATACATTCATGAAAAGTGTTTGCACACAATATGAAAGCATAGTAAGCCTAAAATTTCTGCCAGAGTTACCCGCTATCTCTGGGTAAGAAACCTGAGCTGTTACGTTATCTTTATGAAGTCACATTCTCCCATGCTATGTTGTTTTCTGTTTTCTTGGTGAGAAAACATTGCTTATCATCAGAAATAATTAATTTCAAAGTAGTTATGCCTGGTGTCAAGAAAGCCTTCTATAAGTTGCAGTTGTTATTAATGATGATGAAGATTTGTCTTAAAACATGACTTATGTCTGAGCATGAAGCAGATGCTCCAGTATTTATTGATGTGATCCAAGTTAAGCTACGATCAGTACTTTGAGGACATGTGCAGATTTTACATTTATCTTTTTTGTAATGGTGCATGAAATAAAAAAGAAAGTTTAGAGGGAACTTGGATTGGCATCTAATGTAAAAGCATGGAGAAGATTCCTAAGAGGTGAGTAGAAAGAAATTCCTGGGATGTCAGGGGAGAACCCAGGAGCATAGATTCAGCAGCAAAACAGACAGGATGTCTCCAGAAAGAGGTTCAGACAACATATTCAGTTGCCTGCTTGTTCTGCAAAGTGTCTTTAGTTTAGCCATATGGACGCTGTCAGGATTCTGAGCGAGGGGTGTTTGGGTGTGTGGTTCACTGAACTAGTCAAAGTGGACAGTGGGATGAAGAGAGTAAAGGGGGGCAGCAATGAGGAATCACAGACTGAAAGTGTAAAGAACGGTGTGGAGAAGTCTATCTACATGAGGGACGAGGTTGGTGGCCGGCACATAATCTGAGTTTTCAGACAACTCTTTCCTACTGTTGCAAAGTTCACACATGGCAACATTAATGTGAAGGACAAGATGCCACTGAAGAAGCACAGTGAACCCGATAAAATAAGATAGTATGTCAGAGAGGCCCAGTTCAGGAAAGAAACCAGGGAAGATGCAATCAGGGACATGTACAGTCAAATTTTTGTGTTTGGTGACAATGGAATGATAAGTGATAACAGCTTGATTTTTCCCCTCTGATAACAAGGCTCGTTAGATCCCACTTTAAAGTATGTAAAAGAAAGTCTGAATTAGGGAGAAGTTATTTGAATTATCTAGTATGAAAATTGGAAAAGAGACCTCATGGCTGGGAAATGAGGATAGGCAGCCAGGCAATTAAGATGGAGAACACGGACTTTTGTAACATCATTCTGGGAGTATGAATGCTCTCTTCTTGAAATCCTCAGTATTCCTCATGGTCATACATAGAAAACAGTGGGGTTCACCAAGGACTTTGCCTTTGCCAGACTGGTAAAGTCTAAAGACAATAGTGACAATAGGGTGCTAGAAAGAGAGGGTGCATATTTTACAAATTGTTCTTGTAGTGAGAAAAGCAGACCGGTTTCTTTATTCAAGGTCCTTAAATTTTTATTAAAAATAATAAATTATAAAGTTTGGAACTTTATAGTTTAGAACTGATCTAGATTTGATTCTAGAAGTCAGGATAACAGTTACCTGAGGGGTTTAATAAATAGTGCAGGACTGAGTGTTTGGGACTTCTGGTATCTTTCCCTTTCTTGAACAGGACATTTTCTGCATGACTGTATGATGTTTGTGAAAATCCACTGAGTGGTAGACAAAGTATATGTGCTTTTATGTCAGTGCAGATATAGCTCTCTGAAATGCACAGAGAAATTGGCATAAAACTTACAAATATATCTACCAGACATATACATGTCCAGTGAGCATTACAAAGAATTAGTATTATTTGGTGTTCAGAGGAGAGAGTCATAACTATGATCTGTGACATCTAGTAAAATAATTATATTACTGATTGTTTGCTTTCATGGTGCCTAACCTATAGTTCTTCCCATATCTTGGTTTATTTTATTCCTCAAATCGATTCCATAAAAGGCAGATTCTCCTCATTTTCAAGTTTTGGAGACTTGATTTAATGACTACCTGGCTGTCTAATGGTAGACTCTTATTTAAACTATCTACTGGAATGTCCAGCCTTACATCCTGTAGGCCATAGAGTCATAGAGACACTGTGGACATTTGGGATAGTGTGGGGATCTGAAAATGAAGGAGCAAATAACAAAAGCAAAAAGTGCAGACTTTGGAGGCTGTGGAGCAGACATAACACACATAGATGAAGGCAAAGAAACTGTATCATCTTTGCTTTACATACCTATAAAATCCTTCTCTTGGCAGACTCAAGACAGAAATGCCCAAGAAATTCTGCAATGTATCTGCATGTCTTTTAAAACAACCACAGTCGATGTGAAACCAAAAATAACCTCTTAGGTCTGCTTCAAGTAAAAAAAAAATGTCTTAAAAAATACTAGCACTTTAAAAATTAACATGAAGTAGACTCTCCAGCTGAGAAACGACATGTGTCTCTGCTTAGCACAAACAATTCTTCAACACACACTTCTTGCTGTGTTGTTAACAAACTCGCAGTTCTTTATTCTAGGCAGTGTGTTGCTACCTACTTTGCTGAAAATAGAAGTTTGCCATTTTAGAAGAAAGGGTAAAACACACCATCAGTAGTATCTTGGGAGCCCAGCCGTTAGTCTCCCCACATGCATTTCTGACCTCATCTTCTCATCCTTAGAGGGGCTGTGAAGACCTCGGTGGCATCCTGGGCTAGAGCAATGAGGAACAACTACAGTGCTACTAGGTGATCACTAATGAGGGGACGCTGTTCAACTGTTCCCTCTTCCACACTGGAGACTTGCTGCAACCCACTCTGCTGAAAGTCAGAGTCCTGGGTTTAGAGAGGAACACTAGGGGATGAGAGGCAGCATCCTGGAAGCTGGTGACGGAGGGTCCCTGATGAACCCCCCACATAACTCCACCTCACCACATCAAACATTTCATTTGGATTACATAAAATCTCAAATAAAGGACCCAAGGGGCTCAGCAAAAGGTCATCAGATGCATCCTAAATGTCTGCCATCCTTGGCAATCAATAAATTCCTCCAATTTCCAACCATGTGCCAACTATCTTCTGGAGTAGACAGTCTGGAGAGTGACAGCCCAGGGACTGGTGATCTAATTATAATTTTAGTAAAATGCCCTTCTTTTTCCTTTCATTTTTCGAGACAGGGTTTCTCTGTAGATTTGGAGACTGTCTTGGAACTCTCTTTGAAGACCAGGCTGGCCTAGAACTCACAGAGATCCGCTTGCCTCTGCCTCCCAAGTGCTGGGATTAAAGGCATGAGCCACCACCCACCTGGGTAGTAAAATGTTCTTATGTAAAGTCATAAAATATCAGCACTATCAGGGTTCTGATCATCCATCTTCTTTTATAGAAAGGTGTTAAATGTAAAATAGAAATTGAGGAAGGAATACACCTAAAATATTTCCAAACTCCACTCAGTAACTGAAGGTTAATTCTGTGATAGAATCTGTTGAAAATCTGCCAGGGTTTTAAATTTTGTCTTTCTTTTTTTAAGCTATAAAAATATGACAAATGATTTAATTCTCACAAAGATGTTAAGATCATATTTTTTTACTCTTGTACCCATATCTAAATAAAATCACTTCTCTAACATTAGTGATGTCATAAATGTATATATATATCATCACACATAAAGTCATATACATTCCCTAATGCTGAATTCATGGTCTACAAGTAGGTATATTGCCATGGTACAGACATATGATCAAAGAGATTAAGTAAATTGAACAATGCTACCTTTCTAGTTGGTAGAGACTTATGACTTTAACCCAGACACATATGGCTGCAAAGCCCACCTGCCCCAATTTCACACCTGCAATTTTCAAACTATCTATAATAGAATAGGATTTTAATCTCTGCTCCTAAAAATACTAGTACAAATTTTAGTGAAAACTAACCTAGAATGGTATCTATTCTATCTTTTAACCTAGTGTCTTTGCAGACCAGGTCATTCAGCCGTGTTTGTATTTTCTCAGAGATCGAGATACTACAATCCTGAAGTAACTCAACTCTATATCATTGAGCTAAGTTCTGGCATTAATGAAAATAATCAAAGTTTATGCTTTTTTCAACCCATTTATACTAGAGTATTTTGGAGAATATAGTAGACTTCTGAAATTAGCATGATCACAGATGGTATAAAATTAGTTATTAACCCAATCAGCAATTGTTTTGTGCCATGATATACTTTTAAATTGTAAATGATGATATCTCACTATCTCTGCTTTCCTTAAATCTCTTTTCTCATATAGAGTTTGGTAGTGAGAGATATGCTTGCACCATGGGCCTTGCCTTCTGTTTGTCATTTGTTTCAGAGGCAG